AAATCCAGGAGTTGCAGCAGCTTGACCAAATCCACCTGCTGCTGCTGGCTGTCCAAATCCGGTTGTAGCCCCACGTCCAGCTACTTGACCAAAACCAGTTTGTTGCTGTCCGATGCCAGTGGTTGCACCAGGCTGCCCAAAACCTCCAGCAGCAGGTTGACCAAATCCACCTGTTGCTCCTGGTTGGCCGAATCCGGTTGTGGCCCCACGACCCGCGGCTTGTCCAAATCCACCAGCTTGTTGACCAAATCCAGGAGTTGCAGCAGCTTGACCAAATCCACCTGCTGCTGCTGGCTGTCCAAATCCGGTTGTAGCCCCACGTCCAGCTACTTGACCAAAACCAGTTTGTTGCTGTCCGATGCCAGTGGTTGCACCAGGCTGACCGAATTGACCATTAGCAGCAGGTTGACCAAATCCACCTGTTGCACCTGGTTGGCCAAAACCAGCAGTTTGCTGACCGAATCCGGCACCCTGTTGACCAAATCCAGTATTTTGCTGTCCAAATCCAGCATTCTGTTGACCAAAACCTCCTGCCGCAGGTTGACCAAACCCAGATGCTGCACCTTGACCGCCTGCCTGACCAAATCCTGTGGCTCCTTGAGCAGGTTGTCCAAATCCAACTTGTTGCTGTCCAAATCCGGTATTTTGTTGACCAAAACCACCTGCGGCCTGTCCAAAACCTCCAGCAGCAGGTTGACCAAAACCACCAGGTACTTGCTGGGCGGCTTGACCGAATCCTCCAGCGGCTGGCTGGCCAAAACCACCACCTGCTGGTTGGCCAAAACCTCCTGCCGCAGGTTGCCCAAAGCCAGTCCCTCCAAATCCTGTGTTCATGAAGAAACACCCAAGCAACAACTATATATCCTGGGTCAAAAGGAAGAGCTCCGTAGCAATAATAATAATAAGAAAAAATAAGGAAGAGAAGAAAAAAAAAGGGAAAAAAGGAAGTATATTCTCTCATACAAACAAGAAGAAAATGAGGAGGAAATAGAATCCATTACAGTTTTACGTACCTTGACATTTAGGTTTCTTTTTTTTTTTTTTTTTTTTTTTTTTTTTACTGCTTTCCAAAAAGGTCCTCCATTTTTGGAGTTGGCACGGTGCCACTAGTCACTTGGTAGTCATCCCAATGGAGCATCTCTGTATAGAGTGGTTGTACATCCTTGCCAAAGTTTTTCCGTATTGTCGCGATGCACATTGATTTAGCCACGGTGAGTTTTCTCTTCGAGTCTAAAATGAAAAGATCACACCCGCAAAACACCTTTGGGTAAAACAACTCTTTCATAGACGGAGTTCCATCCCGAATATTATTCATCTCTCGGTAATCATCCCAGTGTTGCATCTCTCCACAAAATGTCTGTGTAAAGGAATCACTAAAAGCAGGATTTAAGGCAACAGAATATGCAGTTATATCACATTTTTGACTCTTAAAAGTGTATCCTTTAAACGGTAACTCCGTTTTTAAGGAAAAAGCATCCATCATTTTGGCCGTACCATCTTGTACACCAAATTCTTCTCGATACTCGTCCCAGTGAAGCATTTCTGTACAGGTATACTGAGAATCAGTCCCTCTTAGAGAAACTGGTACTGCCTTGCACATCACTACATGGGGAACATTACCCTGACCGCTCCGGAGAACATCTTTTTCAAAGAAAACCTGATCTGTTACATCCATTGAGAGAACACTCCTTCTCAACTATGAAGGAAAAAGAAAAAAAAAGAAAAAAAAAGGGGACAGAAGCAAACATATGGATGTATATCTAAGATGTATTTGTATATCCAGATACCAGAACAAAAAAAAAAAAAAATGATTAGAAAAACCAGAGGCATGGCTATATTATAAAAGAAAAAGAAAATGTTTGTTGTTGTTTTTTTTTTTTTTTTAACCCATAGAATCATCACATAGAGCTGCTAAAAGAAGAGCAATCCTTGTGAAACTCTTCAAGTGCCTTAACATCGTATGTTGTTTTATGAAATGTCTTTATACGAGTTAAAAAAAGATCAGTTAATGTGGCTGAATCATGCAAACAAGTAGGAACACTGCTTTCTTCTGCTTGTTCCAAAATCTCAAGAAGAGCCTGTGAGGAAAGTGAAGAGAGATCAGCACCACTAAAACCTTCTGTGACATCAGCTAAGATGTTAATATCTGCTGATGTACCCTTAAGTGCAAGTTGTAGAATTTGATAACGATCATCTCGTGTTGGAAGAGGAACGTACACCAAATAATCAAATCGTCCAGGACGAAGTAATGCACTATCAAGAAAATGTGGTGTATTGGTAGCTCCTACGAAACAAACACCACTTGAAGAAGCAAATCCATCCATTTCAGTTAATAAAGTTGAAAGTAAACGTGCATGATCACCATCACGTGAACCAAGCCCTCGTTTACCACCAAGTACTTCTACTTCATCAAAGAAAACAATACATGGTTTTTGTTGTGCAGCCTTTTGAAAAACATCACGTAAAAGTCTTTCTGATTCACCAACATAGGCGCTAATTAATGTTGCTGAGTCAAGATAAATAAAAGCAAAATACCCTTCAGAGCATAATGCCTTAACTAAACTCGTTTTTGCACATCCTGGGGGACCATATAAAAGAATTCCACGAGGAGGTTCAACCCCAAACCGAATAAAAGCTTCTGGTTGTAATCTTGGAAGAATTAAAGCACGACGCAAACGATTTTTTACATCTTCAAGTCCTCCAATTTCAGACCAATGAAGTGTTTTTATAGGAGGTTTATAAGTACGAGGAGGATTTCGAGCAATTTCAAGAACTGCTGTACTAGAATATCCTACAAGTGTATGTGCTTCATTCATATAATCTTCCTTATCACCACCTCGCACATGTGATAATAGAGCAGCCCGCATGTGAACATCTGGAAGTTCAATTGTAATCTTTGTAGAAAAAAGTGAACTAACCACCTCAGAAGTTCTAGTAGAAGTAATACCAACTAAAACTACTGCAGATTTTACTCCATTATGTTCTTCTATTAAACGATTTATATCACGTAAAAGGGTTCTTAGTGTTAACTTGGAGAAAGACTCCTCTGATGATGGGAAAAGGATATCCATTGCTGATACACATAATACCACAAGACGTGCACCCCATAATTTTTCTTTTCGTTCCCAAATAGTTGTAGGAGACCAATTTACAAGTGTTGCCTGAGATTCATTTACGCAGTGATCAATTAACTCTAAAGCCCCACAACCCTCTGGAGAATACAGAGAGACACCAATCCAATTTCCAGGACGATTCTCCATCGTTTGTAATAATGTACGGAATTGGTCTATCTGTTTACTCACTCCCATAAGTATACCAGGATCATGAGTAGAAATAACATTTTTATGATTTAGTTTTACACGTGTAGTCGATGATACTAATGCCAAACCACGATATCCACTTTGAAGTTCAACAGAATTAACATGATATCGTCCACCATCCATTTCCATATCACAGTTTACAATAATATAGCAACCTATTAAATTAGCAAAAAGACGGTCTAAAGTTCCTCGAAGACTCACACGTGGACCTTCTAGAATAACTGTCTTTGCCGTATAAGTATATCGTGGTGTTTGAATACGAAGTGTGTAAACTTTATCACTGGCATTAACTGGTGCTTCCACGAAACGTCTCTTTGTTTTGGAAGTTCCATTTAAAAAATAAACATTATGCGTTTCCACAGGGAAAAAATCCTGTGCTGTTAATGTTGCAGCATATTGAGGAGTAATAGTAATAGAGGCATCCAACTCCCACGATGAGGCTTCGCCCTGTGAGGGCACTACAGTACAGAGAGCCACAGACTCCTCCTCACTCACCTGAACGAGGGCCACTTGTGATGATGCGCATCGCCAGCGTGCTGGAACCCTAAGCATCACTTAGTGCCTAGAAATATAATTACATAATAAAATAATAAGAATGAAAATAATAAGAAGAAATAAAATAAAAAGAGAGAAACGATTGCAAGAGAATTATGTAAATGCAGTAAGCAATAGATAAAAGAAAAAAAAAAAATTACACACCATCAAGTATACGATAGTGTATCATTGTTATTGTTTTTTTTTTTTTTTTTTTTGTTTTATCGCCCATTCTTTTATAGTTTGTAAAAATAAAAAATGAGAAAAATAAAAATACATATAAAACAAAAAAAAAGAAGATAAAAGGATGAGAAAAATGCAATTAAAAAAAAAATGAATAAACAGTAGGTAAATTCACTTGATTCACACATTTATTTCACTTCCTTTTCTTCTCTTTTTTTTTTCCGCATCTGCCGAAAAAAAAGGGGAATGTTTCAATTTTTTTTTTTTTTTGAGAAAATGATATATAAATCTCTCCCTTCTTCTTTTTAAAAAAGCATAGAGATGGATGGGTGAATGTAAGTGTAATGACCATAAGCGCTACCGGTTCTCCGTCATGTATCTCTTATGAGGAGACCGAGAATTACGCCTTAAAGTAATACAATATACTTATTTATGTAGATCTCAAGATGGCGGTAATAAAAACTCTATGAAAAAAAAAGGGAATACGTCTATGTAGTGTCTGAGTCTCGAATGGCGAAGAAAATCAGCCAAAATTGAAAAAAAAAAAAAAAAGAAACTGAAAATAACAAAAATACAAAGAAGGGAAGTACAAATAATAAAGTGAAAAAAAAAAGAAATGAGACAAACCACCTTTCTATAATACAAAAAAAGGCATATATCTATATATATATGCTTGAAATAATGGGAAAAACTCTGTATCCCACTAACTCACTCTATGAAAGCTCAATTTTTTTTTTTTAATTCTTTATTTGCTGGGACTCTTTCCACCCATATCTGCAGCGGCTGCCAAAGTTCCCACGCATTGTCCGAATAGACAACTCCTTGTGGTGATTCCACTACCATCAACGACAGCGTCATCAGCTTGAGCATCTTGAATTGGATTACGTGCAATCTGTACACGAATACTGCATCCAAGTACATTCATCCGACTAAGTCGAAGTGTTGCCTTCGCTTCTTCAGAAGTAGACATTTCCACAAATGCAAATAGTGTACTGTATCCATTTCCACGACACACACGAACCTTATTAACTGTACCACACATGGTTAATAATTCCATAAATATCTTCTGTGATAAAAGTGGAGGGAGATGAGAAATGTACACTGTTCTTGACTTGGACTCCGGTAATAAAAAGGATGAGCTATTCACGCTATTAGCGGACCAACTTTTCTTTGGTGTAATGGAATTAGAATGAACCGGAGAGAATACACCTGTGGAATGTTGAAATTGTCTTAAATGAGTTCGAATAGTAGAACGAAGTGGATCATCCAATTGAAGAGATGCTTGTCCCATCATTGCCCAAAAAGAAGCTTTAGATATTGGAAATGGCATAGAAGCACAAGCGTGAGCAATAGCACAAATATTATCAATCTGAGCTGCACAATGAACACCACGTTCAAATATACGTGTAGCCAAATGGAATGGATCACCTGTTAAGAATTCCATCACAAACAACTCACCTAGCATAACTCCACAGTTAGTGCCAGTTTCTCTTGAGTCATAAGCAATAATATGTCTTAATAAGTGTCGGGTAACTGCCTCACGAAATTCTTCCATTGAAATCCAACTCTGTTTTAATCCAGCAAGGGCTCCCAAAACACGAGAAAGTATAGAAGAAGAACCTCGATTAATTTCATCCACCAATTCAACAGCACAAGAACTTGGTTGTTTATGGCATTCAATGACTTGTGTAATAAAACTTACAGGACAATCCGAGTAAAGTAATTGAACCAAACTCTTCTGATTTGAAAAGGGGGCTGTACTTTTGGAAATAAGAACTTCTTCCAAACTCACATGAGTAACACGTAGTGCTTGTGTCTGTCGACATGGAATAAATGCATCCATCTTCTCTACGGCGAGATCTGCCATACACTTATTCTCAAACCCAACATATCCTACAACCCCGTTATCCCAGAGAAGAAATGCCTCATCTCCGCCGTATGGATAAAACATACATCTAAGTGCCTTACTGTTTGTGCTTGTATCCAAATGGGTGACGCGAATCCAATGACGAACACCTACATCCATTAACCACGCATCATCGTGAATAGATGAGACATCCAGTGTACGGTTAATAGTTGAGATGTCGTGCCCGGCGGTGACCTCCGCGGAAGAGGCGGAACTCACCGGTGAGACGGGCCGATCCGGCGAGACCCGCGTATCGAACATGGCGAAACAGTGCTGCATGCGGGGAAAAGAAAGAAGAAGAAGAGTCGAATAATGTAAGCGGATACGGCCGGGTGAAAAATAAATAAAATAAATAAATAAAAGGGGTCCGGTGAGAATTTAACAAGAAAAAAAGAAAAGAAATTTAAACTGATACTAGAACAAGAAAAGAAAAGAAGAGAAGAGAAGAAGAAGAAAAGAAGAAGAGTTGTGTATTGAATAAGAGACCAATGTAAGAGTGTACATGAGAGGTTGTTTCTTTCTTTTTTTTTTTTTCTGGGTCTTGTTTTTTGTTTGTTTCATGTGAAAAAGTGAAAACTCAACAGGCAAATACGAATAAACAAAAAAAAAAGAAAAAAAAAAACATAATACCAAGGAATGACAACACATATGTGTGTGTCCACCTTTGTATAAAGTTAATTTCTGTTTTCAAACGCCTTTGAGACCAACTCTCTCCGTCTTTCATCTGTTAAACAGAAAGAAACAGAATCACTAACACTCTTCACATTAGGTGATGATTGTAGTGACAAACAGCAACGTTTATCCTTTTCTAATACTTGATACCGTCCCTCATCAAATCGTTTATAATCCCACCGTGGATTCATAGTGGATCTAATACTACCAACAATAGGATCAGGAGAGAGAGAAGGTTGACATAAATTAGCCGTTTTTGCTTCTTCCTTACGTTTTCGTTCCGCATCACTTATAGAATTCCTTACTAACGATAAGGCGTGAGCTCCAATAGTTCTTGGTTTTAAATGTAATTGTGATGGAATAGACATTGGTTCATTCACCCAAACTTCTTTTATACGATGAATACGAGGTTCTACAATAGCATAGATTAACTCTGCAGGAAAACTTTCAAGAACATGACAACAGAGTACATGAAGAATAAGGGCATCGGATGGTGGAAAAAGGGCGTTATTATGCGTTCGGTCTGTAGCTTTTGTTCGGGCAGCAAACCAATTCATTTCAGCTACTATTGCACACAACATATTACTCTTTTGTTGTTTTGTTAAAGACCAGGCATTTTCTTTTCCTTCTGGTTTAGCCCCAACAAGGGATTTCATCAAAAGTTGATCAAATAATCTACACAACGCATCTTCACTGGTCATCATCGTCGTTAAAGAGGTATAGGTTGCAGAGTCTATAGAAGGGAATAAACGAAGTGTACGGGTACGAATTTCATGTTTTAATAAAGTTTCTCCAAATAATGCGAGTCGTCCGAATTCTCCTGTTGTATTCCATGTTTTGGACTCCTTTACATAAAATAATAAACTATGCAAAAGGACATTATGTCGTCGCAAGAAACCCAAAGAAGTTCGCAAACGAGCCAATCGACGTGTTGTTTTAGCATGTGTAAATTCGTCTATTAAACGACAAGGATTTGCTATCGTTGCATATACTTGATTCGCTGGTAATGGCTCTGTAGGAGAAGTGAGACGATCTTTAATAAGTTTAAAGAGACGCATATCAAAAGAGTTGTTGTGTGAATCCCAATCAATAATTTTCTTGCGAGTCAATGCACAGATCTGCGTGGTGGCCGCAGCCGCAGTGAGACTGAACACCACCACACTGCGTCTCATTTATATATATATATATATATA